TATATATATATATTATTTTTTTTGGTTTGAAAGCCCAAAGGCTAATATATTAAATAAAAAGTAAGGTACATATAGATTTTGTGGGAGATCCCAAAAATAACACCCAACCCACACAAAAGCCACCATATTAAATAGTTTCAAAAAAGAGACTACTGTCAATACATAAGAGATATAAAAAAATAAAAACTAAAAAGGGCCAAAATAGGAGTATCAAGTAGTTGGAGAGCAAATCAATTTTGACTTGCATCTGCGTCTAGTTTTAGGGAAGGAGCCAGCTATTAAATTGGTCAGATGAGTGTCATTGCCATTAGTAACTAATGCATCATTCAATAGATTCCCTAACTCGAGTCGTCCACCGTTCTTTTTTTTCCTCCTCGTGTAGACCTGTTATTCCTCATCCGAGGGTTGGCTCACCTGATCAGCAAAATGGTCTGAAATCTGCAAAATATATGTAGGTTGTTGAACATTAGAGGCAACTACTTGTTGTACCAGCTGGTCTTCTTTCAGGTCGAAAGAGCACACTCGTGTGTCTTGGAATGTAAGTGGGACTTCTTCAATAACGGAAAGTGGTATCAGCACTTTTAGATCTGTACCTGTAGTAAGGTGTCCATCTGGAACTGCGATGTTGGAAAGAGGATGGGATTGCACCTTCTCATCAAGGATGGTGGATGGCTGATCTTTAGCGATATTCGGCCTTAGATGAGGATGCAAACAATGACAAATATTAGAACTGTGACCAAACATACTACAATGTGAGCAATAAGGAGGATGTGGTTCTATTTCAACATTTTGCCAATGCCTGTTGTGAATAGTGTCAATCCATATCTCGTCCGGAGTTGGTTGAGTGATATCTCTCTCAACTAATACACAAGTCACAAGATCTGGTGACAGCAAGCGTAGGGCTATTCACCTTGAGAAACTTATCGTAAGCAGTTGCTAAAGAGTAGAGAATTTCCATGTTGAACAGATGTAATTTTAACCCTGAAAACTTTATCCAAAATGGAATGATAGGGGACTGTTCGTTTTTTTTCAGAATTTTCATAAAACGATGGTTGATCTTTATAGTTTTTTGAGAGAAAATGCGAGTGTAATCGGCATCGTGAGATAGCTGAATAAGTATATATCGACCGTCAAGTAGGTCAATGTGTCAACTGCCCAATAGTTTCATAGCATCAAACTCCTTCCTAATGATCTCCAATTTTGGGTGACCATAAAGGAATTTCCCCACAAGGGCAAAACGCCAAGAGGACGCGAGAGTACCGGTTTCCTCCTCTATGAGAATAAGTGTAGGCTTCCCATTTTTTTTCCAAGTTTTTTAATAAAAGTGTGATCACCTCCACCTTCAAGAGCCTCGTGGAACGATTTTGAAACATTGCAGGGCTTACTGATAGCAAAACCGGGCTCTGAACCTGGAGGAGTAGCACGAGCAGAAATGGGCAAGTCGCTGGCAAGGGCATTGGCATAGGAATGAAGCATCGAGACCATCTCCCTGACAAGATGGTCACAGTCAGGAGAGAAACAGTTTGGCGGGCTGAGAAGCGAGCAAAGCTGGCGCTATCGGGCGAGGAGATAGTCGCGATGTCGTCGGCTACGGGAGACGAAACAGTCACGATGTCGTCGGTTACGGGAGACGACTGGGAGAGAAAGCGCCGTCGTCAAAGGAATCAGACGACAACGGCAGTAGCAATCCTTGTCGACAATGGAGACGACTTGGAGCGCTCGACTTCAACAGGAGAGACAGGGAGCTGCAGCTACGGGAACGTTGTCGCGGGAGAGGG